TTGTATCTCCCTAATATCTACCACAATGTCTGGCATGTAATAGATTCTAAATAAATGTCTATGTCTAGAAAATAGGGCTGAATAGACAGTTGTTAAAACATATTCTGAAGTCACTGTACTTATTTCTCCTTTCTCCTATCCTTCCTTTTTTTTTTTTTTTTTTTGAGACAGAGTCTAGCTTTGTTGCCCAGGCTAGAGTGAGTGCCGTGGCATCAGCCTAGCTCACAGCAACCTCAATCTCCTGGCTCAAGCAATCCTCCTGCCTCAGCCTCCCGAGTAGCTGGGACTACAGGCATTCGCCACCATGCCTGGCTAATTTTTTGTATATATATTAGTTGGCCAATTAATTTCTTTCTATTTATAGTAGAGACTGGGTCTCGCTCTTGCTCAGGCTGGTTTTGAACTCCTGACCTCGAGCAATCCGTCCGCCTCGGCCTCCCAGAGAGCTAGGATTACAGGCGTGAGCCACCGCGCCCGGCCTATCCTTCCTTTTTTACTGTTCCAGTTTTCATCCCTCGTAGGCCAACGTTTTGGATGATTTGTGGCATCATGTTTTGGTACTGCTTCCCATTATACTTCCTTCATATCTCTTCCCCCAAATTTTGTTTGTTAAAAATAGTGTTTTTCCCCCCTTAGGCTCTGTCGCTCATGTCTTAAGTTATTTTAAACATTGTGCTTGATCTCCATCTGATTCTTCTGTTATCTTAAGTTCTCGCTGGTTGTTATGTCTGCTAACTCCAGCTTACAGCGAATTGTTTCCACATGGGTGTTGTGGCTCAGGCTCGGAGTTCATTGTCAGTGGAGATTTAATCTGTGGGTGTCCCAGCTTGCCTGGATTGAGGGCACATATCCCCAGAAAGCTTTTGTTTCTACTTCCAGGTACCCAAGAGGAATCATTGCTCTAGAACTAATTTTCATGCCTATTTTCAACTTGAAAGTTCCTGGCCTGTACAGAACTGGATGGGTTTTATTATAAATTCAAAACCCCAAGCCACAAAAGGGCAGACTCTAGGGATGCAAATGCTCAGTGGAGACAGCTTTATTCCCCCACCAAGAGCCTAGGACAAGGCATCTGTTTGCCATCTGCCATCTGCCTATGTGAGTGTTCAGCTTTTTTCCAAGCCCATCATTTCACTTTAGGAATCTTTCTTCAAGACCACTTCCAGGGTCTTTCTTTGTATGAAGGTCTCAGTTCCAGTTCTCTACATCACCTCCCATGCCCTAGCAAGTACTAAGTCCCAAGCTCCTGGTGTATTGATTTCTGCACTATAAGTGCATGTGCTTACAGCTTTGGTTCTGTTTACTCTCCATTTCTGGCCCCATTCTATTTAATTTCTTGTAAACTCATTTAAAAGGATGTTTATGTTGTCACATTTCCCCCAGGATTTCTTAGGAATTATAGTGGAAAGGTTTGTAGACTATCAAGGCAACTTCTAAGAGACATTCTTATTTTCATTTTTATAAAGAAAAAAGTTTCAGGTTGGGAACTGGGACACCTAATTCTTTGACATCAATTTGCTGTGTTAGGCAAGTCATATAAGCTTCTGACGGCTCAGATTCCTTATCTTTTAAATGGTGATAATAAGACTTGAGAACACAGTTGTAAAGGTGTGTTTCCCCTGATATGGATGCTATGAGATCAAGTAATAAAATAGATGAGAAGGTATTTTGGAAAATAAATAAATAAAAGCACTCCATACTTGCCAGGTAGATTTGTTTCTTCTTCTAGACACCCTAAGGATGTCATTGGCTTTGAACTCAATTGTACTGATATCCTTACTAAGATTTTCCTTCCTCTAGAGCAGGGGTCCTCAAACTTTTTAAACAGGGGGCCAGTTCACTGTCCCTCAGACCATTGGAGGGCCATTGGAGAGTGAGGCGCACATTCCACACATTCGTACTGTAGGCCCAGGACAAGCTGGCTGCTAAGCAGGACAGGCAGCGGTGGCAAAAACACCCAGTGGGCTGGATAAATGTCCTTGGTAGGCCGCATGTGGCCCACGGGTCGTAGTTTGAGGACGCCTGCTTGGAGCCTTCACCCTTCTTCTCCCATTGCATCTCTTACTCCATTAGTTTACCTTATGGCAAAGTACAGTGCCCTTGTACTTAGGCAGAGAGGATGTTCTGCAACCTCTGGGATGATTTTACCAAATTGAGCATGGTGATTACTGTGGCTCCATCATTCACTCCTTAACTCACTCCTTAACTTGTTATATGGTTCTGCCACTTTGGAGAACTAAAGGACTGCTGCCTGAATACAGGTCTTCTCTTCGGTTACCTGTCTGTGCCATGTCACTGAAGGAGAGTATCAGTTGGCATAGTTGTCCTGGAAGCTACCAGGACATATTAATAGGAACACTGGGATTTATAATCAAGAAGTTTTACAATATGGTCTCATAGAACACACCCTTTTTATGTTATAGAAACTTTGGACTGAACAAGCTGTGTCATAAAAGGGGCCACAGAATCAGGAAAACCAGCCATGTCGTAACAGGCCAACCAGAGTTACAAGGCAGGGAGGGATGTTGGAGTTTTCTTGGTTTTTTATTTGAGGCCAAGGTCTTCAACAGAGCATGGACTTTTGCTTCAGGTCAAATGAAGTCATAATTCAGGCTGGCATAGTCCCTGTTTAAATCACTTAGGCAAGGTTTAATTTATTGAACTGAATCCTGGAACTAATTCAATCCCCTGAAGAACATATAATTATACAACTTTCATCCAAAATCTCAAGAGAAAATTTTAAGTAGATATAGTGAGAATTCAAAGGGAACATGAGGCTAAAATAGAAAATGCTTGTAGGGATATCAGTAGAAGAAATAGAAATAGAAAACATTTGTGAAAGTCTGATCTTAGTCTTTTGTATAGTTCATTGCACAAACCAATACACTTGATTCTCAAATAAACAAACATGTTTTCAAATATTGAATCTTTCTTTTTCCAAATATTGAATCTTTATTTTCAAAGATACGGTAATGTAGCTATAATAGGGTTGATCATGATCTTATAACTTACTGAATTTTCCAATACATATCATTATTTTTTAGTTGCATGACTTCTATTAAATATTTCCACTCATCTATATTAATTGCCTGCAGCCATACACAGACAACACAGGTTTCCAGCTAATTCTAACTCCTCTTTTCATCCACTTAATGTTAGTTCATCCCTTCATAAAACCTATTCACCAGACCTTCTAACAAATAGACTGGTTTGAAGATCAGTTCTTGTCATGTCCCCTGCCTGCCATCTGTTTTAGATACTAGTGAGTCATGAAAAGCCTGAAAGCAATAGTGTGAACGAGCCAGAGGAAGAGGCAGAGGGCCAGGACCATCAGAAAATAGAATAATATCCTCAGGCTAATCAAGGGTTGTTAGGTTGATTGTATAATCAAAATAATAGGAATGATGATTAAAATCAACAGCGAATCCAAAAACCTCAAAACTAACCTGCATGCTAGTTTTAGGAGAAACCTTAAAGACGTAGCCTACAGGCTTTGGTCCCCATTGCTATGGAGTAGTCCGTGAGACTATGGAAGAGGCCACACAGGTAAACTAGTTCAGTTCAGCCAATTGTGCTGAGCACCTAGTATGTCACTATCATGGGGAAGGGGAGTAAGAGTTGTTCTTTACTCAAAGGAGTTTTCAGTCTTGGAGGGAAGACATCATACAACTCTCTGTGCAGGTGACAGTAATGGCTATGCATGGAGCACGGCTGTGTGCACTTACCACCTGGGCACTTGCCCAGGGCTTTATTTATTCACATTATCTTGGTTCCTCTTACCAGTCCTCTAAGGTAGATATTATCATCTCCAATTTATAGATTAGGAAGCAGTATTTTTTGTCTCGCATGTTAGCGTGCTGCCTCTCTGCACAGTGTGTTAATGCTTTGCCAAGGATGCAGATTGGAGTCTGACAGGTGAAAGTCCTATCTTGGCTCTGCTATCTATCTGGGGTCTGGAGGAAATGTCTTAATTTACTTGAGCCACAGTCTTCTCATCTACAAAACGAAGATGGTAATATCTACCTCAGCTCTCAACTTAAATGTCGACATCCCCAGAAACTCCTTACCCAACCACTCTTACTCCCATATCCCCAATTTCTTAATCCCATACCCTGTGTTAATTTTGTCATAGCCTGTGTCATCATCTGAAGTGATTCGTGTGTCATTTGTTTACCTGACTATTGTCAGCCTCCCACCTCAATGTAAGTTTCACGAGGGTGTGGACTGGGCCTGCTAAAGTCTCAGAACTTGGTTCCTGGCCAGAGTAGGCACTCAGTATTACACAAATGAGCAGTAGTCTAGGCAGTAGCTAATGAGGATAGAAAGGAGAAAATGACTGTACTTATGTTTAATGTCCTTGTGAACCATTCCACTGTGTTCCCTTAGAAAGAAAAATAAATCATTGAAAGCTTTGAAGTGTGTTGCTAAGACAGGTTAGAGGGGTGTGAACATGTTTTATTTATTTATTTATTTTACCATATTGAAGGTTTAAAAATATTGTAAATTGAAATTCATCATCCAATGCATGATAGTCCATCCTTGACCTGAGCTGGGCTTCAGTAAAAGGAGCAGGTAGACAAATGCCATGCACAGACAGAACACAGAATCCTTTGTAAGTGTGACCGTAGGGCAGGGGTCCTCAAACTTTTTAAACAGGGGGCCAGTTCACTGTCCCGCAGACCATCGGAGGACCAGACTATAGTTAAAAAAAAACTATGAACAAATTCCTATGCACACTGCACATATCTTATTTTGAAGCAAAAAAACAAACGGGCAGAAACACCCGCATGTGGCCCGGGGGCTGTAGTTTGAGGACGCCTGCTGTAGGGTATGCTGAGAGAAAATGTATAACCAGAACTCACCTGAGTAGGTGTTTGGCCTTTATGCTCTTCCACTAGCATCAACCTCAGAGTGAGTGACACATCTTACTATGTATGTCTACAAAAGGCACCTCCAGCCACCATTGACCTATTGTATATCTTTGACATTGTTTGTTTTAGGATTCTGAGAAACGAACTCCCCTTCATGTGGCCGCGTTTCTGGGAGATGCAGAGATCATTGAACTCCTCATTCTGTCAGGTAAATAACCCCTGTACTCAAAAGGCAACTGCAAATAAAAGTTTAAATGACCAATTTACTGGGTTGACTACTATAATGAACACAAACAAAATTTCTTATGATGCAAATGGAAATTTACTTGATGAACAATGTTATCTGTACACGAAGGGCAATGCAAGAAGTTGTTCTTATTGAAAAGTGACTTCTCCAGTAAAATTTTTATGTTGCTTTGAAAGTCTGATTCCTGGATGTCTAGTCAGGCCCAGCACTGTGGACAAATTCAGTACATTTGGATATCTTTTGATTTCTTTTTAATTATAGAAAAATAAAAGGAAAGAAAACTAGTTTAAAGTCTATGTGAACACATACCCCCACACACTATAGATAGTGTGAGTATGAGCATATACACTTTATAGAATACACATATATACTATATATATACTAGTATGTATACACTATATATGCTATATATATATACTACATATGTGCTATATAAATATACATTTGGTTTATACACTCAGTGAGTATATTTATATGTGTTTAAATTGGACTGCAAAACAATACCATGTTTCGCTTATGGATACATGACAATGTATATGTAATAAAAATGTAAAAACATGGATGGTAAGGAACAACATCAATTCCTGACCTCTGAGTAGGCAGGTTGAGTGAGAAATGTCTTCCGGGAAGGGCATAAAAGGAACTATTATAACTCTCTAAAATATTTTATGTTTAAAAAATTGATAGATAACATGGCAAACATGTTAACTCTGGCTTGTATGTACACTGGTGTTTGTGATATTACTCTCTTTATTTTTCTATGTATTTTAAGTACTGTCTCATGTTTAAAAATGCATATAGCATATATAATGCTTTCATTTTTGGAAACCTGTGTGCTCAGTACATCTCACCGAACAGGTTTCCAAAACCATTATGTGCATTCTCCCTTGAGTGTTTGCTAGACAAACCCTGGAATGAATCTGAGCATGTGCAGGCATCTCATTGTAGCTTGTCTGCAGACAGGCTGCCTTTCTTCCTCCTCCTTTTTGTTATGGGAGATTAAAATCTAGAGGAAGTGCCTCTGCCCACAGACAAGGCAAAAGGCTTATAATAAGGTTTTGCCTTTGTTTGCATAGTAAAGGGAAACTGTAGAATTCCAAAATAAGCTATGCAAAGGTAGGAGCTGATACGTGTATTCAAGCAGATGTGGAGAACATGATGGCAAAGAAACAAGAATTGTGCTGTGATACACAAGGAAGATTCACATTGCCTTTATTTTTGTCGTGCTCATGTTCTTGAGGTGTGGGTTTCCCCAGGAAACAAGTATTCTGTGCCTTAAAACACATGTGCCCTATGCTCCTAACACGTGGAGCTTAGGTTAGATTTCACGTGGCATTCCTTGCCCTCTTGAGAACAAGCCTTTCTTCTTTCCGACAAATCTAAAGATGTTCCAGGGCTGTCTTCCAAGCAAACATGTATTGTTTGGTGTTGGCACAGACTATGGCTAAGAGCCAGCACACACCTGGCCAGTTGCCCTAGCAGTTGGAATTTGGCCCATGGAAGATTGTAGGCAGAATCAGTGGAGGTGTAACATAAAGAAGTTTGTATTATCAAAATTCAGATAAAGCAAAATAAATAAATACATACATACATAAAATAAAAAATTAAATAAAAGCATTTTGTGGTATGACCATGTTTCCTTGAAAATATGACAGGGTCTTATATTTACTTTTCCTCAAAAAGACACCCTAGGGCTTATTTTCAGGGGATGTGTTATTTTTTTTAAGTATGGTACAACAATCTACATTTATTCAAATATAGTTAAGTCGTCTTCTTCTGGAACATCATCATAACTCTCCAAATCCCGAATTCCACCCTGAAATTCTTGAGACTATTTCCTTTAGAACCATTGGCCCCAATCTCTCATGTTGAGCAATAGAGCTCTCATGGGGCAGATGAAAAGGGCTGCTCATCTTCTTTACCGCTCTGCCATAAAATGCATGGGTTGCGCAGAAATGCTGCGTAGCCACGCCCATCACTAGGTCTTATTTTGGGGGTAGGGCTTATATTGCGCAAGTGCTTAGAAATCCTGCTAGGGCTTATTTTATGGGTAGGTCTTATTTTCGGGAAAACACGGGACACCTAATGATCCCAACCAGCTATACCCACTACTTAAACATTCTCTTAAGAGACCTCTCAGAGTCTCAGAGGAATGTTTGTTTCATGAATGTGTAAATTCAAAACTTTATCTTTCATTCCAACTTTATGGTGCTCTTGTTTTTTCTATATCTGAAAGTGAAGGTTTTTATTCCGCAGCATGAAGTTGACACATCTTTTTTGTAGGCGATCTGGGGCCAGTGATAGTTTGAGAAACTTGGTTTCATATCACCTTCACATGGGCATAGAATCCACCAGCCTCTCTTTAACTCTGGCTGAATAAGTAGAGCTGGGAGAAGCTGTTGCACATATCTTGATCTATATACCTGTTTGGTCTTGGAATTACTGAGATTTTAATCTCTTTAGTGTAATTTTGGTTCAACTTGTGATGGAATTTTTCCTTCTCCCTCCCATCCAAGTAGGAAGACTTAAGGCATGGGAGAGCATTGGGAAAGTTTGTTTGTTTGTTTGTTTCAGTTGTGGAAGCAGAAGCAAACTCTTGTAATTCACATGGCTTTTATTTTCCTCGAAAGATCCTTTATTCAATTCATATATTGTTTTTCTAATATTGTAAGAACATGATGATTTCATCTCTGAGCATGCATCTGGCAGCTGACCCTTTAGCGAATCCAACCAAACTGTTTTCCAATTTAATAATGAATGAGGTGCTAATGATTCCCATGTTGGACAAATAATTTGGCCTTGCCTGAACAATGCATTACAGCTGTATTCTCCATTGTTGTATTAACTTACAGAGCATGGTGTAATCCAAGCCTGCTAAATTCCTACTGACATCTCCTGTCAGCCAGGTGGTTGGAAACCTGAATGCCTCTGAGTAGACAGGGGGACAAGGTCTTGGGGAAGAATTTGGGCCTTGCAAATTTCACCTTCTTATAACTGCCAGTCCAGATTCTGGCGTTGTTTCCCTCCTGACTCTAGCTTCCGTTTGGGAACTGGCTGAGTCAGGATTAAGGCAAAGAGAAGGTCAGAGACGTCAGTGAGAACCAATCATTGCCTGAGAGTGAAGAGACTAGGCTTGACATACATGAAGCAGAACACACAGAAAATTGACTGCAGTAGAAATACCCTATAGAGAACACTCTTGAGGGTGAGCAAAGATTATAGGGTCATGGGTTGATAGAAGAAAACTGGAAGTGCTCACCCTCTAACATGGAGTATTTGTGAGATATAACTGCGAAGTAAAATTTATTAGAGTTTACTCCATCAAACAAGTGGTAGTCCTACAAAATTATTTATGATGTTTCAGAATGTGCTCACCACTCTCAATGCAAATTATCTCCAGAGCTGGTGGCATATCATTCTTTTGATTCCCTTTTGCATAGCAAATATTCATCCTTTGAGGATGGATTTGATATTTTCTATCTGGTGAAATAGGAGTGATTAAGTGAGGCAATACTGATTTCGGCTCACGAATTATAAAGTAATGAGCCATTTTCTGGCGGGTATGTTGCCCTAAAGGCAACTCCAAGGGGAGTTTTTAAACTGTTTTAAATTATTTTGAGCAATTGCCACATACATGGAATTATCATACACTCTTCCAAGGTAATTGCTTTGAAGAACAGTGCTCCTGTGTAATAAGATTTGGTTTAAAAAAATTCTGTAGCAAGCTGATCTCATTGTGGTATAATCATATTTCATATGATCTTTCTTTTATGCTCATTTCAACAATTAAAAGCCAGACTTTGGATAAACCAGCCTTAAGAATTGATTAATTTTTTTTTTGGACTGTAAGATTTTTCCGTCTCTCTGTCTGCCTTTATCATAGCACTTCTTTTTTCCTTTGTTCTGCTTCTTCCTGTTTGACAAGGCTTAAGGAACAGAAATATTGGCTCTGGAAAAGATGCTCAGAGCTCCCCTTACTCCTGATCTCTATGAGAATAAAATGAGGAGGTAATAGGAATAAGAATGAAGAATATCCTTCATTTATAATCAGAGTTTGGACCTGATAATCTTTGGTTGGGCCTTTGTTTCTGAAGAATCAGGAGGCCCTACGCTAGGGCTTATTTTCATGTTTAAACTTTAAAATGTCCTTGGGTAAGAAAGCATTTGGCTTTAAATCATTAGCCATGCATACTGTGTCCTTGGGTGCACAATGGTGCCTGACAGGCAGGTAAATAACGTGAGGCTTCCTTTAGAAAAATCAGCTATAAATATTCAATTCAGAGCCAGAACCATCTGACATCTCCCTCTGACATGTAAACAAGACTCTCGAAAGTGTTCAGAGGAAGAGGATGAGGAAGCCAGCAGCAGGAGATGACACTGATAAAATGCTTCTTGGGTCTCCATTCAGATAACTCTGCCTTTGTCATAATAACTTTTGTTACAGGGGAGAGGAGGTTTTCCTGGGCAGCTGCCTATTCAGCCTCCTTGAGACGGACTGGAGGAATGGAGGACTTAACAGTAACTGAAAGGAGCCATTTCCTAGGTTTCTAATTATCTTTAAATTTTTCAAGTGTGACTGTGAAGCTACACATAAACAATGCTGGTGCAGTTACATGCCGGTGTGTGCTGCTCTATGATGCCCAGCACACATGGGGGTCATTTTTGTCCTTGAAAGAGTTTTCATATTGAAAGCCACATTTGGAACTACATAAAACTAAAAATCTTCAGAATACAGCATATAAATAATAATACAGACGTATAAATATAAATAAGAAAAAAAAATAGAAAAATGGAGGAAATAGGCAGAGTATGAACAAGTAATTCTCAGAAAATGAATTACAAATGGCCAGTAAACAAACATATTAGAAGATGCCCAACTACATATTAAACCAGAAAATACAAAACAGAGTTGCAGGTTTTTTTCCAATCAGATTTGCAATATTTATTGATTTATTTTTAAAATAGCTTTATTAAGGTATAATTGATATACAATAAACTGCACATATTTAATGTATACAATTTGATGAATTTGAACATATACATACACCTGTGAAACATCTCTATCACCTCCAGAAGTTTCCTTATGTCTCTTTGTTTTTTGTTATTTTAGGTTTGTGGAGGGGGTGGGGGGTAAGAACACTTAACATGAGGTCCACCCTCTTAACAAATTTTTAAGTGCATAATCCAGTATTACTGACTCAGATTTTCAACATTTAAAATGTCTAATAATATATAAAGTGTTGATGGGGATGTAGGGAGACTGAGCAATCTTATACCCTGTGAGTGTGTAAATTGGCACACTTTGGAGGGTAGAGAGTACCTATTGAAACCAAAAGTGTGCATTACCTATGACAAATAAGTCCATTTTTAATTATCTATTCTAGACAAATATTTGCATAAGAAGTCATTTCATGGATGTTCATTATCTAAATATTGTTTGAATAGTGAAATATTAGAAATAACTGAAATACCCATCAATAGAAGAAATGTCTAAAAAATATGGCATGTTATTGTTGGAATACATGTAACAATTAAAAGGAATGAAATCATTCTGAAAGTAACAGCATGGATAGACATAATAAGTATATTGTTGGCTGGTGCGGTGACTTACACTCAGGCTCAAAATGTGGTGATAATAAAATGGCACTTAGAGAGCCAGCAAAAGATTCCCTAAAATTCTAGAGCTCTCCCACACACGCATAGGCATGGACTTCAGTGATACTGTGCCTCCATTCTACAGCTGGGATCACTGGAGTGGTTGTGGAGAGAAGAAAGCATGAGAAAATAACAGTAAGACCAGCAAGTAACTCATCATTAACTTGAATTTATTTTATTTTTTTAAATTCAGACTGTATGACTGAAGTCATCTGCAGATCTAACGGCAGTTCTTGCTCCTATTCTCTTACTCTCACCTGGAGTACAGGCTAGGAAAATCCTGGAAGATGCTATGCAGCTGGGCCACTTTATATGGGAAGCATAGGGAGTGTTGTTTTTCTATCAAAGGCCACCACCCCAGAAGAAAAATAGTATAACAAAAAGCAACTTAGTCTTCGCCCCCACCGCCACTCTGCTATTTCTATTAAAGAAACACAAAACTTCAAATGCACAAGCTTTCTTAAAAATATTTTGTTAGAAAATATTTCAAACATATAGAAAATTATGGAGAATAATACAATGAAAAGCCATATGCCTTCTACCAAGTTTTAAGAAATCTTAACATTTTGCCACATTTGCGTTTTATCAATTTTCAAAAGGAAATAAGACATTGAAGACACAATTGCAGCCATTTGGGCACTCTTACTTCATACCTTTTCACACTCCTTCCTCCCTAGAACCAACCACTGTCCAGAATTGGCATCTGTTCTCTTTAGCCATATATTTTAATTTCATATCTATGCATCCATAAATAACATATAGAAATATAACTGGTATTATGCCATAGGTATAATTCTGTAACTTGATTTATTCATTCAGTGTTAAGATTTTGTTGCAGTACATCTGTTTATATACAGAACTTCAATCTGCTGTTTATTTCCTTGACAGTATAGCATTCCATTGTACAATTATACTATGGTCTATTTATCCGTTTTCCTCCTGATTAACATTTAGGATTCCAATTTCTTGTTACAAACATGCTGTAGTGAACATTTTTATACATGTGTGAATTTCTCCAGGGTATATGATTGGGGTGGAGTTGCTAGGTGGCAGAGTATGCACGGTGGTAGGGCATGCATCAATTTTATTAGGTAATGCCACATTGTTTCCCAAAGGGGGTTGTACCAGTTCACACTTCTACCAGCTGTATATTATGTCTTCCTGTTGCTCTTGGCATTGTCACACTTTATCATTTTCACCAATTTGATGGGCGTGAAATGTTATGTTAATGTTGCTTTCATTTTCTTCTCCCTGATGAATTATGAGAAGTATCTCTCCATAAGTGTTTTTCCTGCCATTAGGGTTTCTTCTTGCATTCACTTTTTGAGTTTACAGAAATTTAAAGCACACAATTTACTCTGCCAAAGACTATGAATGATAAGTGTGAATCCAGCCCTCCTGGACTGCATGAAGTCTGAATGATGTTTGTGACATGAGTGCCAGAGAAACAGCTCCCAAACAAGTCACAAACGTGCATTGGGCTGACCAGAGGGATATGCAGTATGAACACAGTGTGGTCAAACCTACCACACAATGTGGTCCTATGTATTTATGACCCCAGAAAAGTCCTGACAACAAGGTTGGATAATTTTAGAAGGGTTTAATAGCTTCCAGAATGTTGGAAGAGGAAATACTAGGACCTGAGGGGACCAGTGCTCTTTGTTTTTAAACCAAAAAGGTGGGCTTTGTGACCAGCACTGGGCACTCTATTGGAACTAAGACATAGGAGAGGAAATCTAAAATTTGTTTGTTGTAGTGGCAATTTTCTCTTAAAATTTACCCATTTTGCTGTTCTTAATCACTTCTGGGGTTCCTTCTCCCCAGCATTTTCTAGCATTTGAGTCTCCCTTGCTCTTCAAAAAAATACTTGTTTATACAGTCTCTAGATGATGGTTCTTCGTGTTCTTAAATCTCTGTATTTGACTTCCTCTTCCTCTGTAGGGCAAGTACCATGCCTTTCACTCCCTTTGAAAATTGGAGTCATAGATTTAGAGGTGAATGAGACATTAGGGATGATTTGGAAATAAGAGCTGCTAATATTTTTCTAGTCTTTGACATTTACAAAGCACCTTCACATTCATTTAATTCTCCCAAGCACCCTGTAGAGAAGTACTGTTATTATTGTTGTTAGCCTCATTTCACAGATTAGTGCTTTTGGTCACCGGGCCAATAGGTGATGAAATCAGAACTCAAATCTGGATCTTCTGACCATGAATCCTACTCACCTTCCATGACTGCGATCATTTTACCCCAGGGCATTTAGCCCACAGTGTGGTCCTACTACCGGGGCTGGAGATGCCTGCTGCTTTCACATACTTAAACTGATTTTAAAATTATAGTCTTCATTGAGGTAAGGGGCTTGAACCCTTTCAGGCAAATTGGAGTTAGTAGAATTAGGATTAAACAAGTTTAACATTCGTAAATTAAGCAATAACTCATCAGTGGCTTTCAACCTTGACAGCATATTGCAATAACCTCTGGGGAGCTTTTAAAAAATACTCGTGCCTGACCCCAACTCAAACCAATGAAATCAGAAAGGCGGCTGAAGGGGAGGCGTTCTATCTCTTTGTTTTATGGATTACACTCTTGTTTTCTGTGATTAATACTGTTGCATTTGTTCTTCTTCAGTTAAAGAAAAAAATAGTGTAAGTTCTATGATTTGTCATTTCTTTTTAGCCAGTGCCTTAAACTAAGCTTCCAGCTCACTCTTACCCTTGAAAGTCTGCTGCCTTTTTTAGAGATTTCTATCTTTCAGCTGCCAGGTGGCCTTGGCCTCACCGAGATTAGTCAGCCTCTACTTCCACCTGACTCACTTTCTCAGTCCTTGCCCCCAAGGTGCCTCCACCTGTGCTTTACTTTCTAATTTCTTTGATTCGTCCTTCTACTTTTCATCCTTATGAGCTTCTTTCCTCCTTGTCCTATGGCTAAAGTAGGCTTCTCTAATTGCATTTACAAAGATACCATATATATTTTCTCCTCTTCCCTTTTTGTAGCCCTTTTATAAAACATTCCATCTCTGACCAAAGACTGGCCAAAACTCTGAACTCCCCAAAAGTAAGCTCGTGTTGGGTGTTTTAGCTGTTTAGATGCAGGACTTGGTGGGCTTGTGCTCGTGATGGCGGATTGGGAGGGTGTCGTGGAAGGACGTGTACTCTGCTTTCTGTGATCCCACTCACAGGGAGCGTCTGTTCCATATGGTGGTGTGGCTTCATAGAGTTGAGCATGAGGCACGTCTCTGAGTGTGAGCTGGTTTGGCTTATGCTTGAGCCTGTGTGCCCACCTCATAGCTTGAGAGAGCCATGAGCAACATACATAGGCTTCATATCTTGTCTGTCCAAAAGCTTCTTCCTCCAGAGATATCTGGTTGGTTCTAGAGAAATAATTGAAGTTCCTAGATAAAGCAGATTTATGCTGGTCCCCTTAGCCCAGATTAAATCTTATCAGAACGTGACTAATACAAAGAAAAAGAAAAGCTGGTGGTTATATCTAGCAGATGGGAACAAGATACAGCATTTGACTTAATGTCAACAGAACTTCCCTTGACTCTGTTACGCCTCTAACTTGCACTGTTTGGTTCCAGGAGCTCGTGTCAATGCCAAGGACAACATGTGGCTGACCCCACTGCACCGGGCTGTCGCTTCCAGAAGTGAAGTGAGTGATCACCTTATTTAATCTAATACCTACTGTCCCTACAAAAAGAATTCTTGCCAGTGAATTTAAGGATCTTTACTGGTGAGCAGAGGGCTTTTACATCTAATATTAGAGGGTTACCAAAAATGAATAGCTGCTTATTTGAGCATGTCCTGCATGCCAGACATGGTGTTGGGAGAATGTCTGGGGTAGTGAAAAATGGACAGTATGATTCTTGACTTCAGTGTGTTCTCCGTCTGGAGGGGAGGCAAACCAGAAGCAGATCATAATGATATCATAATGGAATAGGAGAAGGAAGCAACTAACTGCCTGCTTGAATAGAGGAAGTCTTCCAATAAGAGGTGTCAGTTGAGCTGGTCCTTAAAGGATGGGTAGGGACTTAGCAGGCCAGAAGAAGGAGAGAGGCTGAGGAGGGTGCTAAGCATGCCAGAAGACAAAGAACTGTGGAAGTGAATGAATAGGGGGCTTAGGTATAACTTGGGGTATAATGGAAGGTAAGTCTAGTAGCAGAGGCTGGGCCAGATGGTAGAGGGCCTGGTATCTTCTGAGCAGGGGGGAATGGTCAGAGCAGAGGACTGATAGGCTCAGATGCATGTTTTGGAAAGACCACAGTGGTAGCAGCATGGAAAGGGGCTGGAGGAGGTGGGATTTCAGGTGGGGGTGCCAATGGGGGGCCAAAGAGGCCTGAACTAGCTGGGATGAAGGTACACAAAGGAATCAATGATTTGAGACCCAATTAGAAGTGAACCTGATAGGAGTTGATACCTTGTGAGGGTGATGTGGGTTAATGGTGATGCTGGTTACCTAAAAGGCACAGAGCAAGGGAGCAGGGTCAGGAGTTGCTTCTGTTGGAACACACCAAATTTGGCAACATGTTTCTGGAGTGCAAGCTCCATGAAGGCGGGAATCTGTGTTTTGTTCCTTGATGTATCCCAAGGCTGGTACATTCTAGGTGATCAGGATGTAATTCACTGTTGAATGCTGGAAATTCAAGCAAAGGTGGCTAATAGATTATTATTATTTGCACAGGTCTAGAGCTCAGGGACAGGGAGGATGATCACAGAAACCATGGTAAATGCATCAGCTGGTTCAGGGGAAGTATGAAGGGTGAGAAAAGAAGACGAGTGTGGGGTTGAGGGTGGCAGGGAACCCTGGTGAATGTCGGCCTTGAGGCCTGGTCGGAGGAGATGCCCACCATGCAGGGATATGAGAGGTGCTAGCCCTGGATGCACTTGGTGTTGGACGAATAGCCTTCATAGCCCCAAGTTGACCAAGTGAAGCTTCTCCTCTGCCACTGATGTTCTCCAGGTATGCCTATGAGCAGTAGGTGTTTTTGAGAATGAGTATGTTGGAGTCACAGGTGTCTATGGCTGTCATCAGTGTCAGCTTTTCCTCTCTGGCAACTATCTGGAAATTTCGAATATACTTGGTAGGTGACAGTTAGCCTAGTAGTCATAGCCTTCCTTGCTGTTTTTTTGTAATTTGGATAGTTTTTAAAAGGGGTTGAATGTATTCTCTTTCCAAATTGCCTACGTGGAATGAGAGAGGTAAATAATCAATTTCCTGGCTTAGACTCTGGGGAATTCAGAATCTTCTTATGGTCTTAATTTTATTTCTATTTTATCTGGGAAAACAGGTGCAGTGGGCTGCCTGAGTTGGTACGACTAGCTTCATGGGACTAGCTCCTTCATAGAGGAGCATTTCCTTAAAAGACCACTTGATCCTTGGTAAATTTAAGTGTCTCTTAAAATATAAGGGAGAAATATATATATATATATATATATATATATATATATATATATATTTCCCTCCTTTAACAAGAACAAGGGATTTTTGGTTAAAAAAATTTAATTATGCACATCCTATATGCCAGGCACTGTGCTTGCTGATGGAGCTACAAAGAAAAATAAGACCTGTGGTCCCTGACCTTAGGAAGTGTGTGGTCTGGTGGGAGAGAAAGACACAAAAGCAGATGATGCAGATGATTTCAGTACTCTGTGACCTCCCCCGAGTGTTCTTAACCTTTGTTTGCTCAACTAGTTTCAAAAGCTTTGATCCTCAAAACATCCATTTTCCATCAACATTAGCCCATCTTCTTTACATGTATCTTCAGTGTGTTTGAATCCAGTCAACCCAATGATGAGAAAGGCATTTGTTGTGTCTCCAAGTAACCAGCTCTCTGCGGGTTTGCTGAGGGGAAAAAAATATCTTGCAGGTGTCTCTTGCTAGGAAGGAATTAAATGCAAACAAATTCTGAATTATAAATAATCAGGGTCATATATAAGCTCACATAAGAGAATGTCCTCATATTAATGCATCATCGTGAGTTGAAAAGTTTCTTATGAAAATTGGAGTCTCTGTAACTATTGTTAGAGTTGATGGTACAGTGGACATCTTAACTCCGAGTACATTGCTGTGTTGTAGAACACCCTAAATTCAGATCTCCTTCTTTTGAATTTGGTACTATTGCCATTATTTTATACCTCCCCTAACTAATAGCTGGGGAGAGGGAAGTAGGCTTGAGGGGAAAGAACAGAGAAGGTTTGGGCCAGTAATTTGGAATTGGGCTGTTAGCACTTGCCAAAGGGAATATGTAGTTTCAGCATGAGAGCTGGCACATGTCTGTTGCTAAGATTGGCAAGCACTAATATTATTTATATGACATTTATATTATATGCCATTTCTTCATTCAAAAGCTCATAAAACTCTATACTGTCCTCAAAGCCTCTTTGCTTATAAAACCTAGGTAATTGCTCTTTTAGGGAAGGTTCAACCAGTGAAGCAGAACCACCATGAGAGTTATAGAATAAGATACTTATTAGAGGGATTAGACCTTACATAATCGCACAAGTTGCTGAAGAATTCTATGTGAGTTCTATCACTTCAGATTCCGTGTGGCCCTGAGGTCACTGTAGGTTAGCAGGGTCTACAGTTCAAAAGAAAAGCTGGATACGAAAAGGGGGAGAAAAGGGACAAACTGGAACTCATGTCTGTCCCAATATTATGGACATGGGTGACTTGCAGAAGGAGCTGTGCATGCACCTGGCCCAAGAATTAGAGAAACTAAAGGAAATGGCAGGATCTGAAGAAGCATTGAGCCAGGTACTGTCCTGTGCCAATGTGGTGATTGAGCTAATTATTGACATCATGTGCAAGTTGCATAATACTTGGCGCCCAACACCCAGTCAGATTGCAGTTTCACGTATGCCTTCTAAAACTCATGCAGATTTCTCTCGTGGCCAATCCCAAATGGAACATTACAGGGATGGGAATTCTGGGAAATGTAGTTCAGCTTGGTGAACTTGGTACAGTACGAAACGACTCTAGTAATTTTTATTCTATTTTCATTTTAAAAATCTTTTGGACAGTAGTTCCATGTCTATTACTTGCCACTGCATTTCTAGCATCTCATCTGGTCAGTAAACAATTTTGACAATTGCTTTTTGAGTGATTCATTAAAGATTGGGTTTTCAATTTAAGGTACAATAACAATTCTCAGTGTGACTGCTAACATGGAACTGGGATTCACCACATGAGAATGCTGGTGGTAATCATCTTTTGTATATGCAAATTGATCTCTCAGGGTTCAGGGTTCAATCAGGGAAGCATATTTATGGGAGTGTGTGCACTATAAGCCAAGTAGGACTTTGAAACCTACAAAATTAGGACTAGTTCCAAAATTACATGTAACACAGATATCAGTATAAGTCAAAATTTCTGAGCCTTTTTTCCATCCAGGCAAGATTTATGTTCAGAATTCTGTGTCTGGAAAGATAATGTGCATTGTTAAGTTCTTTTCCTGAGCATGTTATACCGATAGGAGCATCAGATCATGATATTGATTAAACATCTATCCATATTATGTCCTCCATAGACAAGAAGGTAGATCAAAACATGACCACACCCCTTGAAAATCTTCCAATGTACAGTCGAGTTCCAGATAAATCTTGCAGACTTATATCGGTGCTGACCAGGCTATCTTGTGTGCCTCCTTCTCTACCCAATCCCATAACCGCCTCCCACCTTCACGTTCTCCCCATGGCTGGCACATCTGGGATTCTCATCTTAGAAACAACCTGGATCCAAATAGCATTGTCTCTTTATGGGATTCCTGAGGCTTCACTGGCCTCATCTTCCTTTTTCTCTGACCCCTCCCAAGGCTGTGAAGAAATAAAGAGAGACTTACCAAAATATTATGAAAATATATTTTGCTAGCTAACATATTAATAGATAAGAAAGATTTGGGGCTGCCAGGGAGAATATTCTGAAGTGTTTTTGTGAACTGTTATATTGTCTCCCCTGTCTAGCTCATTCTTGTTGCTTCTTTGCTTTTCTTTCTTGGAAAAGAGCAGCTGCAGGGAAAGGAAGTTAAATGTATATAAACACAGAGAGTCTGACACATGTTTATTGAAGCCCACTTGGTGTGGGCTTCACTTACCTTTCCTAAGTATGCTGGGAGGGGACCTTGTGGGCTTCCAAGGACACAGTGTTTGGGACAGACAATCAGGCACACAGCCTACTGCAGAACTCTGTGTGGATGCAACTGGCCGTTCCCACACAGCCTTCCTGCTGTAACGAGCTAAGAGTAGCATCGAAGGAGAATTGCTGGACTTTTTACTTTCCTGTTCTAGAGCCTATCTTTTGGTTAAAAATGGTTGTATATTGTCTTTAGAGTGTAGGATTGAGGACATTGTGTCCGTGTAAGTGTTGTCATTATGAGCATTTATTAAGCACTTGCTGTGTGCTAGGAAGTATGTTAAGGACTTTCTGTGCTTTATTACATTTTAACCTCTGAGCCATCCTTTGAGATTGATACTACTAGCAATGCTAATTTGGGAAACATAATCTCAGAAGTTAGGAAGGCACCAAAGATGTCACACCCAGTAAGTGGAGGAGAGTGTGACTAGAGAACCTGCTTGCTTAACCACTGTACCCTCTACTGCTCCCATGAGCACCTTTATGGATACTGTTCTGACCAATAAAATGCTTCTATTTTTGGC